CCCTGATCTCAGGGAGCAGTTCTGCTGCAGCCCATCAACCAACAAGCTCCAAGTCTAAAAAAACCTCCCTTTCAGTTTCAGGGAAGTTCCTTACAGCCAAATACTACTGTATCTATTTTAAAATCTTCTTCAACGGCTTGTGGGGTTTTTTTTAAAGCAGACTTCTAAAAGATCTAAAAAAAAAAAAAAGCATCTTGTTTAGGAATATACCTTACAAATCTGTGTTCAGATAGATAAACACCACTCAAAAAAGCAGTCTATCTGAAACCAGTAGGATGCTGGTTAACAAAGATATGTGGAATCAAGATGAAAAGCAGCAAGATATCAAAAGCAAATTTGTCCATTGTCATCCTCTTCCATCTTGTCAGTGTATGATGTTAATCTAAAGCAGCAGAAACAGGGCCAAGGACACTGACAAAAGCACTGAAATTTACTCTTCCTTCAATCATCTTGAGAAAAAATAAGTTTTGAGTAACCTTCACATTTCTATACAACAGCACCTCAGAAAAGAGAGAGAAATTCTCTTTATGCTGCCTGAAGAAAGGGACAGCCCACGTGGATCCCCGATACAGCACCATCTTGCCATTAGCAAAAGCAGATATTAATTTCTGAAGGAAGGTGCTGAATAAGGGAGATTGTTCCCTTCATTAATAGGTTAATCTTAGCTTTTGCAGCCTCAGCTGAAAACAACAAAGATGAGGCAGAAAAGGCCATATCAGTACTAGTGGCACAGGTAGAAAGAAAAGACCTTTGACCAAGTTGTGTTTTCCCAGCTCTATTCAGTCTGAGAAGAAAATAACAGGATGAGTCAATCTGAATAAATAAAATAATAAATTATTTGGAGTCTCATTATGTGCTTCCTATTTATCTTCTCTAATAAATAAAAGCCATCACATATGAATGGAATGAAATTAAAATAATATTTTATCTAGTGAATTTTTAAAGAAACAAACAGGATGCAGAATTCTACCTTGTAGACCTCTCAGTTGCTACCCAATGTTTCAGCTCTTATTGAAAAAGTCTTTAGATACGATGGTTATACAATAAAACTTGAAGCAAACATTTTCAGGGGAGAAGTCAAATATCTGTAACTTATGTTTTAGCTTGCAGATAGCTTGAAATAACACATCTCTCTGGGGTACCAACTGTCTCATTCATTTTAGTAGATGAGCTGTAGGTCAGCTGCAATCTTTTCCTTGATACTTTACTCAAAGCCATTTAAAAAAAAAATACAGAAGGGAGCATCATGTTATAATGGTTTATACTAATTTTTCCCCAAGATGTGCGTATAAACAAGGAATAGAGGAGAATGAGAGGGGTATTAAGATGCAGTCTTTAAATGTTCTTTTTAACAGTGCATGCTAGAAGTGTTTGTCAAGATGACTAGGAAATACAGATTATAAAAGATAAAATTTTCATTAATTCTGGTGAGTGATATTAAAGAAAACATGAAAAATAAATTTATTTCAGAGTATAAATTCATTACAGACCCAGCAATCTTTTCCACTCCCTGTTCCATATAGACCTATATGAATTAGCTACAATAAATGGACCTTTCTTGGTGTTTTTTTTAGAGCACTTCTGGAACAAAGATACTCTGTAGCTCACTGAGCCATTCTGAAACAAAAAGTAAACTTTAGTATTCTCTTTCTTGAAAGGAGACCATGAAAAATAAGGAAATTAAAGGAAAAGTATTAACAACTCTGGTTAGAAAGAAAAGGTATGCTAAATATGCCATATCACCTTTTTCGTATTTTTAAAGGGGAATGAAGATTAGATTACTAGTTTATTATGAGTGAAAGGACAGGGAAAAGAGGTACTTCATTTATGCCCTTCCCTCGCACCAACAAAACCAGTCAGCTAGGAAAGTAAGAGGCTCTGTATTAAGAGTGAAAACATCCAGCTGTGATCAGAGTTCACTTTCCCTTCATGAGGCTAAGGAGTCTGTTCCTAAACAGAGACCAGCGAGAAGACTGATCACCAGTAAACATAAGCCAAGAAACAATAGATACTCAGTCTGCTTCCTTAAGCATAACCTCTGTGGCCTGTCCAAATAGAATATGGGGGTGCTTTTTGGAGTGTATGCTTAAAAACATTTACATGTAAAATCTGTTTAGAAGAAACACCACAAAACTAACTTTCTAAAACACAGACAATTTATTAAAATGCAAGCTATCTGCTTCTTTAAATACTCTGGAAACCAAAAACTGATATGTACTTACTTTGGCAGTAGTTTCTTTAATGGACATGTTGAATGACTGTTCTTTTTCCTGAAGGCTAGAAGGGATTAAAATAAAATAAAATAAAATTGACCTTCTTTGCTCATCACGGTCTGCTACACAAGACACATTTTCATATGGAAGCACATAGGCTTTAAGATGACTCCTACTAACACAAAAGAGCCAGTACCAAGATAAAATCTGTATATTTGGGTTCAATGTTGCTAGTGACTAACCAACATTTTTTCCACCTAATTTCTTCCCACTTCATCCTGTTTGCTTGAAAAACAGTTCATACACTAGCTTTACAGTTCTTAATTAATGAGTTTATACTCATTTTACTTACCATCAAACACAATTATGATTATTTGTGTAATCATAATATCTTAGAAATTCCCAAAAGTGTCCAGGACTGAAGCTTTGCTAGGCTACCATCCAAACACCTAACACAAATGTGTTTCTGACACAAAGAGTTTGCAGTTATAACTATCTGCTTATAACCCAATTTCCAACTATGCCAGGAAAAGCTCAACTGCAGTCACTTGTTCTCACAGTAATTTTATATGAAATATCACTACTCAGTTTGTTTGGTTTAATAAAAACCTACAAATTATTTGTACCAAACTGATTCAACAGTAGGCTGAAATTGAGGCATTGTCCATGCTTATATGAACAGATTCAAGGTTTCCTGCCACATATAAAAACCAGTTAAGTTTACTACTTCGATATTACTGAACATAACATAAATCTGTGCCTTTAGTGCTCGTAAATAAATTAACAAGTTACATTTTTAACATAAACTTAAAAAATCCAAGTCAAATCAAGCATTAGGAATATGGAGATTTTTTTTTTGCAACTTTAATACTTCCCTCCCTTCTACTTTGTAGACAAACACTTTTAATCAGTGTTCAATTACTTTATCACACGCTATTTTCTTTCCTGTCAGACACCTCAATTCAGTGTACATGACAGCTGAAAATTCCCCACCAGCAGCCCTTCAATTCTTCCTTTTAGCTGCGTTACAAAAATTGTACTTCTTCCACAACCTATCACTGATACTCCTCCCAAATAGAGAACTATTAATTTATTTCTGAGCTTTTCTTTAGTGTTTGACACTGAAGTATCCAAGCATTTCAGAAACATCACTGGATTTATTTCAGTGATACTCCTGTAAGATACGGCAGCAGTGTATTCATTTTACAGGTGGAAGAAACACAACTCGCTGTTATTCAGAAAGCACATTAAGACAGAGTGCCTGTTTTGACACGCACACAGTCCCTGATGCTCACCTCTACACATTTCAGTTTTCTTTTGACAACTTGCTCCTTTGCATTTTCCAAGCACAGCACTTGCTGAGTCCTGCTTCAAGAGTCAGCGTTCATGTAAATCTGAACCGCAAAGCACACAAAGTTGGACTTGCACTCAGCTGCTGACCACCTCCCTCCAGCTGCACACAGCAGTGAGACAGGCTCAGAGGCAGAACTCAGCTGTCGAGCGCATCACTTAATTGCGTTAATGAGACAGTCATTTGCATTGCTTTCCCTCATGCCTTGCTTCATGGAGCACACTCCTCCTCAATCTACAGCCCAGCAAGGCCAGTCACCTCATTACTGCCACAGCACACAGGGGTCCCTTCAGCTCCAGATGAGGCAGTCCTCTCAGAAATACCTCATGACAGTGTAAATCAATGCCTGTGTAAGGCAACGAACAGAAATACAGTGGGCTAGCTATGTAAAAGCTGTTTAACAACATTTCCCACATAGCAGTCTCCAGTTTTTCCCCTTTTCTACAGCAATATATGGGCAAAACACAAAAGTTCACATGTGTAATGATGCCATTATCAACTTTCTGCCTGCCTCTGGGCATGCCAGAGGGAATGAACTATTTCGTCATTTTTTTTCTCAGTCTCTGGAGCTCCCAGTGACTTTCAGCATCTCCCACAAGCACCATCTGAGCTGGTCAGGTTATGTAAAAAAGAGTTGGGCTTTGTGTACAGATGTCAAGGGGAAGCAGCAAGGCTACAGTGTGTAATTGAATGAATAATGGGTGACTGACTCAGTTGTTCTGAAACTGCCTTATAAAACCCAACTCCAAAGACCCAAGACATAATAAAATGTAAAGTGCAGTTATAGCCAGAAGAACAACAGTATAAAGATGGCAGCTCCATTTAACAAATCTCTTCTGTGTGTCTTTTCTCTTATCTGTTTACCTTCCTCACAGAAAGCCCCCCCGCCCTGGTTCATACAACATTTCACTCCTCTGCAGAACTCACACTGCTAACAGAAAGAGATATCAATTTTTAATTTCTTTTTAAACCATACATACAAGATAGCGTTACAAAGACCCACTTGTAGAGTCCCTATTGCTAACAAGGATGCACAAGCCCATGCGGACTTTCAGGTCCAGGTGCTGAGTGGGAAAAAACATCTCCTTTATACCCATCTATCAAGACACTGAAAAATAAATAAGGAATGGCGCCCTGCCATTTCAATGACAGCAGAACTATAGCTCTAAGTGAAATTTGCAGAACTACAGTTTTAAGAGGATTTCATATTAATCTAACACATACCAATAAAGAATATGATTAGTAAATAATTATTTTGACTCAAGCTAGTGATAGCCACATTAACCAGAGACTTGAATCTAAAGAATCCTTTTGTTACAGTTACAGCATTCATGCAGACTCTTACAAGTGCATTTGTATTACTGATGGTACAAATTACACAGCAGTACCCTGTTTTGAATCCTTGTTAGCCTTCAGAGTGATACCATAGGAAACCCTTATCCTTTTTAGAGATTAGCCGATCCCACTATTCATATGCAGCAATCAAAATCATGTATGAACCAGCCACAGTTACCAACTTTGAACAGCTTCTAAGTAAGTTTATTCCCAGGTTGGTTTCTTCTACCACAAAACATCATCATGGGGAGGCCCTCACAAGCTTTCCAATTAACTGACAAGCTAATGAACTGCAAGAGAAGTCAAGCAATCAATACTGATGCATTCTACAGACAAAGGGCTTTAACAGCCATGATCTGATACATGTGGCTTGAACCAGAAATAGTATTTTCTTTTACCACCATCCTGGAGTATCGTATTTCATTTTAAGAGGAGCATTCTGTCTGCTTAACAGTTGCTTTACTTATTTCTACCAGGGAAAACAGCTTTAAAAAGAGCTCCTTGGAGTAACATTAAATTCTTGCCTGGGAAGATGTCCATAGTTTTGACTCATTGTTATTCTTCTCTGGCAAAACAGCTAATCAAGAATTTCACTGCTTGTTCTCACAGCCTCTGCAATCTATTATAAGGAACATTTAGAAGTTACTTCTCAAATTCAATATAAGCTAACTCCATCACAGAGAAAGCAAAGTTCTTGACCCAGCTGATGGAAGGACTAGAATAAGACAGGAATTCAATTAATGCAAAATTAACTGACTAAATGCAGGAAAATAAATGTTTTTAACACCTGCAGAACTGACAGCAATCTATAAATCATGTGTAATTTCTTCATGGCAGATAGTCATGTAGGCATACCATTTAAATGGCTTTACACACCTTAGGATCCATAACGAGAAGAGAAGAAAATAAAAGGAATGTAGACTTGATACATTCTAGGGCTTCATCGTATACATTCTAGATCAGAATAGGAAAGCAGGAGCTGAGGAATTACCCTTTCTGGATGATGAAAAACAGCAAAACACAGACTTCAGCTGGAGAACTGCAGGAGGATGTAGGAATGCTGTATATTCAGGAGATAAGGCTGACTTAGGATGTAGTAACAGACTACAAGAAAAATTTTAAGAACTAAATACTTCAAGCAAGCCAGTGCCTTTTAAGTATCTCATTTTAGTGACCTTAAAGAAAAATAGGTACTAAGTATGTTGAACTGTTGAAACCTGCTGAGATGATGTTCATAATCAGGAATAGCGTGTGCTGGCAAAATAAAGTAAGCCAATTCCATGTGATGGGGGACAGAAGAAAGGCTGGGAGCTGAGTGGTCTGGTTCACACATTCCTTGCTCTGTCACAGCCTTCTCATACAAACACTGAGGACATAAAATGTCATGATATAACAGAAAATGTTTAAAAAGCTTTTTAAAGAATATTCTGAGACATTATGATTCACATGCAGGAATTGCAGATACTATGGAAGTGGCTTTGTTCAGAGGAAGGCTGACTAGCACAATACTGGGAAGAACGGCTTTCTACTAAAGGAAAGGCATGTTTCTGAATGTCTTTCCTTCCACTTCGCTGGTATACTTCCCTTTGCAGAACAGGCTATTGTGTATTTATGTTTTGCTTCTTAAGAAAAAATTCAAAGAATGAAAATGGGCAAAAGGCAAATCACGCTGTTCTCTACTTTCAAGATACATAAATATACAGACTGCTTAAACAGAAACAGTTCCTGTATTAATGACAAAACATAAATGCAGTGACAAAAAAGGGAGTCAGAATGCTGTTTCCTTAACTGCACAACAGAACATACCACACAGGTAGTATCAGTGTAAAATAAATAAATTCTATACAGGAAATTCTTATTTTCATACAGAAACTAAGCAGCTAAATTTGATCTCTGAAGAGACTCAAAGACAAAATGATGCCCTTTAATAGCAAATATTCTTCCTTACATTACCTTCACCTAAAAAATTATTCTATATCCTGTTATTGCCCTCCCTATCTCCATACCACAATACAGTGCTTAAGCAAAAAGCACTTCCATTTCTTTAAGTACAAGTCAGAACAATTTAAAATTACACATATTCGAATTTCTAATTCAAGAGCAATGGCCTAGAAATCTAAGCTCACGTTGTAAGCATATGAAAAATCATGATGGGCTGAACCCTCATTTCGTATGAATATGTATTCCCTCCTAGCTAAAACTACTATTAAAGAGTATTTTCTTGACTATCAGCAAATTTAAACAGTTTACAGTATGTCTGAATTTGGCCCAGAGTAATGAGACTGCCTGCAAAGCACAACCACATTCTAATAGTCACAGCCTGCAGAGAGCATGACTTTTCCAACTTTAAGTCTTCTAACACAATTTCTTCTCTGTTT